GTGACGTCTGTTGCCTTTTGGTTTGAGGAAGTAGATGGTGGGGCCTGGTTCAGGGGTATGGTTATTATGGGTGATGTCTAAGGGTGGAAGTAAGGGGGAGCTTCTTTTATGCACTCAACGTTGGTGGTTGTTGTTGTTGGGGAGTTTTATAAAGTGGGTGATTATATGAGGTGCGAGCAGAAGGTAGCCTTTTTTTTTTATCTGTTTGTATTTGTGTGTGTTTGAAGTTGGAGTTGTTTTTAATTTATTTTGCCACGTTGAAGAGTATTTGTGTCATATTTGAGGATGTGCTTTTGCAATATATAGACAGTTGGTTGATTTGGGACAAAATGAGAGGAATTCAGAAGTTTGGTTTTAAGGTATGGTGTAGAAAAGGTTTTCTTTCTTTCGTTATTATTGTGTTTTTCATCCTATTCTTTTTATTCTTCTGTTCTCTTGACATACTCAGGTGTTGAGCTCATCTTTTTGTAGATATCTTGAATATTTCTCTAAGGTACTTAATGAGGATGAATACTTTCGCGAAATATGTTTGATATTGATATACTGATATATTCATGTATTCAAATATTGTAAATTTGATGATGTCACAATTGTAAAAAATGTTTCAAGGACTTTATGCCTCATATAGTTTTCATTCTCATTGCTGCCTCTTTTCAAAATTTATCACACAGGAACAAAGTGTTCAAATTTTCCGAGTCAGTGTCCCGTGAATGGGGTTTTAGTGTGAGGGCTTTGCCGATGGAGATTTTATGTTAAACCAAAGCTTTGTCCTTCAGAGGGAAGAGGCTCACAGGCAGTCTATTTACCAGATGGAGGACGCCCAGGAGCGGTCACGGCATCTTGGACGAGGAGTATCCAAACCCAAAAAGAACACAGTTGCGTCATTGCTGGAACAGTGTCGTGCAGCGGGCATAAAGCCTTCAACCCTACCTCTGCCCCCCACTACCTCCATAGCAGCCACACCAGTCACTACCTCCCCCCCTCTGCACGTTTCTTCGTTGCGCGCGGGGGACCCCATCTCGGCAGCTTCTCCAATTGTCAACTCCCGGTCCTCGCCATCACCAGCGTCGCAATCTCTTCCTCCAACATTACTGCCTGGGCTCCCAGCAAATCTCCCTCCGTCACTCTCTGCCTCTCTGGGGGCGCCATTACCCCCTCCAGTCGTACCCACGCCTCCTGTGCCCTCCCTGTCCATCTCTGCCATTGCCTCCACTCAGGCCTCCACCACCTCTGAGGTTTCTACCACAATCACTCTGACGACAACATCCTCCCTGTTGTCCTCCACCTGCCTAACGCCTCCAATGGACACCCCCTCCACCCCCTCAACCACCACCACCACCACCACATGCACTGCTCCTTGCACTTCCTCCAACTCGTCCCCATTGCCTCCCTCAGCCTCCACTTCGTCAGTGGCTGGCTCTGGCTCTGCTGTCGCTTCCTCTTCTTCCTCCTCCTCTTCCTCCGCCTCTGCCCCCCCTCCCTCCTCTTCTTCCCCTTCCTCCTCTGCTGCCACCTCCTCCTCCTCCTCTTCCTCTTCCTCTTCCACTGCCACCATCACAACCAACTCTTTAGCCACCTTGTCCAGCCTTCCAGCCTTGTCCAATTTACCCCCTATACCAGGCCTGGCCACGCCACCCTTGTCATCCGTCTCTGCATCCACAACTCCTCCACCTCCCATTCCATCAGCCACCACGATATCCAGTCTATCGACAGGGATATCCTTGACATCCTCATCCACACCCCCTATAATGGCCTCCACCCTGTCACTGCCCCTTCCCTCTGCGCTGTCCTTGTCCTCTTCTGTGAGCATAACATCCGTGGCTCCTGAGACCACCATGGCATCACTACTCAACAAACCAAGTGTCACCATACACCCGACAACTTCAGCACCAGATGGCCACGACAGGGCAAAGTCTAATATGGAAATGGAGAATTCGGTAAGTGCCGCGATTTCTTATTGACTGTCTGCATGACTTTTAGCAATTGATATAATAAAGCAATACCATGTTCTTGAGTTTTAATGGAAATTGATCAGTTAGGAAAAGTACTGTGATAGTATTTAGGACCTCTACAGGCAGTTCCATTAACCTCGCAGGAAAAAACGTTTCAAAGGAGGTACCAGATCATTGGTACAAGGGCACACTAATGCCCAGTTACTAATACTCAGTGTAACATAAGATAAAAAGATAAAACAGTCATATAATGCATGTGCTGTACTCTGAAATTAAGCCATTGGATCCTGGTTGTTTGCTGCCCACATGTGGCCCCAAATCTGGGCATTAGGCTTACTTGATTGGTGAAGCTCCTAGTGTGTAGTTTGTAGGGTGGTGCTGTCCTTACTTTCTTCATAACATGGTCATATCACCCAGATCCAAGGGGCTGATATGATAACAGGTTCATGTGTTTAGCAAATTTCTTTTATGTATAAAGGAAGAAAACAGCTTCATCTATTAAGTATCTTAATTTTGCATTCCCAGGTGGACATTGTAGCAATCACAAG